GGGTTTTTATGTGACCCAAGGGAAGATGTTCAGTCTCATACTCACCTTGGATCACATACCAAGAAAGACAGTAAGACAGACAGAGAGAGAGGAGGGGAGATGAGCTTAATAGAACATTTTTCATTTTTTTTTTTTAACCTACTGATTTATCTTTCTTTTTTCTTTATTAATCCATGAAGAGCAGCAAATTTTCACATGCAGTTGAGCCAACCCTCCCTTGCAAGTATCCAGGAGTGCTTTAGGACACTGTGGTTGGGAGTCATCAGGAGTTCAGGCACAGGGATGTCGGGAATAGCAAGGTGACAAAGGCAGCTGGTGTCCCCCCAGAAGGGCCAAAGGAAGAGCAGGTCCAACAGACACACATATCAGAAGAGCGACTGCAGTGAAGCTGTGATGACAGCAGAAGGAAGCTCACGGAAGGCCCCAGTTGAAGTCACTTGTGAGCCTTCTCTACCTTGCAAAAGAGAACTTGAAAAGGACTCTTTCCTTCAAGGAGAAGCTGAGACCTGCCACAGCTGAGGCCCCTCTAGGGGATGTCAGAAAAGGCTTAGAGGTCCTGTGAAGACCAGAGAAAACATCCTGGTGATTTGCCAGCAGAGAGTGTCAGCAGGAAACGTGCCAGGTCTCCACTGGGAACATCAAAGTGCAGGAGAATTCCCCAAGGACTGGGATGTAGTCTTTGAACGGAGAGAACAAGCATGCCCATTTGGGGCACTGGCAAATATCAGTGCCAGTTCACTGACTCAACAAATATTCCTTGAGTGCTTTTTAGGTGCTAGGCATTGTGAAAGAAAGTAAAGAATCCAAGAAGTAAGTGAAGCAGGCCCTAATTTCAAACAACTCATAGGATTGAGGACATTGCAAATAAATCAGTAATGAGGATATCTCTGTGGCCAGCTCACAGGGGTTTACTCAATTCCACAACCGATATCTTGGTAGCGAGTGTTCTTTTAGGTGACCTAGAGGACATTTTTATTGTTAGTGTTTAAGAGAGAATTCTCCATGGCTTATGAGAGAAAGGAGGAGGTAGGTGTGCTCAAGAGGAGACGTCCTTTAGAGCCCTTAGCGACCCCTAATTCCAAATGTTTAGTGAAATCCACAGACGGGTGACTGAACTCACTCCTTCCCTGACCTTCATCTTGGGCTCCCAGAAACGTGGTAATCTAAGAAATCCCAGCCTTTTCTCTAAAGCATTTACAATCCAACAGAAATTGGTGACATAGCAACAGGGTTTTGAGAGTCCTTTTCTATGAGGAAGGAGGGCCTACACAGCATCTTTTAGGATATTTGGAAAGACAGCATTTCTATCTACTTAGGGAAGACTCAGGAACAAGATGGTAGCAAAGGTATTCTGCTGGAGAGTGAAAGCTCAGAGTTCAAGGCCTGCGCTAAAACACGTCCTTGCACACTTAGAGGCAGACAAAGGGCAAAGCACAGAGTGACATGTGTCTACGGGAGACTGGTGTCACCGATGGCGCATCTACACTGGGAGTAGGGGTCTGCTGATGCCCACAGGGACGTTGGTTGAGGGTCAGTAAACTTTCGTGCAGACAGAGATGTCTCTTCCTGTGAGACAGTGAGACTGGGCCTCACCCTCCAGAGAAGGCCAAGGCCTGTGCAGGTGCAAACAACACCTGCACACCTCCAGACAGGTGTGTGCAGAGTCAGAACAGCTGTCTATCAGAGCCTATGTACTTTCTCCTTGAACTCTAGAAGTGATAGGTCAACAGGGGAACTCAATAAAACATGATACCAGTTGTTATATGTGAAAAATGATGTCATACACCCCACAGCAGTGCCAAGAGGCAGCGTGGGAGCCCTGCCTCCCTCTCTGTCTTAGATACTGGCAAATGACATTTTCTCCATTTGATATAAACTGCTGGGCACCCTCCCTTCTCCCCAAAGTCACATCTAGGCGTCCCTATACCAAGATGCATAGACACCTCTCCTTTTCCACTGAAAAGGTGTTCAAGGCTAGAAATACACATTCTAAAGATGTTTATATATGTTTATTGCCAGCATCACTGTATGGGAGGGGATGGAGGACACGTGGATTTTTCAGAAATATATGGAACAAACAGATCAGTCTAGAGACAAAAAATGCAATGAAGTCATCAGGGTTACCAAAAAAGCCTACCCCAATCAGTTGCTTATTCAGGGACTAAATGGGCATGTGGGTAAGAATGATCACGTCGGAAACACGACCTAACCTTCCAGAACAAAACAAAAGATGGAAATAGCTCTCTGCCTTTGGAGCCTCTGCTAAGGTACACATCTTTCTCTCCAAGGAGCCCCAAGCCTGTCCTGGCTTATTTAAAAGAAGCACCCTTTTGGAAATATTTAGGAGGAAAGATGAAGGCATGACAGCTCAGGGTCTTCAGCTTTAGTTCAGATGTGGCAGCAGCCCAGTGACATCTCTGATCTCCAAACAATCAGTCACCGGGAAAACGGCACCCTGGCAAGTTCCAAGGTGATTAGTTATTCCTTGGCTTGTCTCATCAGTTTGAATCTGGGAGAGCTAATCTGGACCCAGGATCTGGAAAACGCTGTTCATCCAAATTACTCTAATCTGCAGGTAGATTCTGATTATCCTGCTCATCTTTCCTAGATCCATCTTCTGTTTCCATAGCAGCTAAAACCTCAGTAAAATGGGAGCATCTGGCCCAGGCTCAGGTAGAAGTCCCCTGGGAAAGTGAATCTGCTCCACGGCCACAAAAAGGGAGACAAAGGACTCTCGGACACGGCAGCAGGACAGCAGCAGGATGGACAGGAGAAGCTCAGACGTCAGAGCAGGGACTGCGAGTGACGGCGAGGAGGGGACAGGGTGAAGGTGGGGGAAAAAGTGAAATTAGAGCAGGAACATTTAGGATGCTGTGAAAGGGAGAACACAGAACCAAATACAGGGACAGTATAAGCACCAAAGGGCAGGACAGAGGGACAGAGGGGGAGGGGGTGGGGAAGAGAAACACCTAGAAAAAGACAAAGAGCTAACTGGCCGGAGGAGGGAACGAGAAAAGACATCAAACCGCAGACAGAGCCCCTTGACACAGGCAGAGGAAGTCAACCCTGATGATAAATGTTCTGCAGGTTTTAAAGGCACAGACTTCTCTGGCATCCGATAGCACTGGGGACTGAGCATTCAGCTTTGATGAATGGCGGGTACCTTGGACGCACAAAGTCTGTCCATCTGGACGGCCCCTCCTTCTCAAGTGCCCCGGGCCGTTCTCCCTCACTAATGAGCTCATGGACAGCTGAAGACTCTGGGTCAGTCTATGTGGAAGGACATTTCAGATGGAGATGGAGAGCTGCAGAGGCAGGAACAGCTCTCTCTGATCCCTACAGAGCCAAGAATGGTGGCCCAGGACAGCTCCCAGGGATCCAGGCCAATGCAGCTGGCAATTTCATGCCTTCCTCAGGACATTTATCAGGGCAAATGATCTCTGTGTGAGGAAATTTGGTATTTGGGGTTCATTAATAGCCCTACCCAGACTTTTCAAAATATCCAAATGGGGTGGCTACTGTGGTCCAACGCACTGCTGGTAGACAGCCCTCAGCTGTCAGCTGCTGTGTGGATTTTCTCATGTGGAAAGAGTCACCTGGGCCAAGGCCACATTCCTTATTGGGACAGCCTTAATTCAGACTGCTGTCTGATATAGAGAAGTAGCCCTATCACCTCGGTGAAGGACACTCTGGAACGGTCCCCCTAGCTTCAGAGCTCCCTACAGGGTGAGCTGAGATGCCCCACTGGACTGCGTCACAAGTTAGTTTCTCCCTCCACCCAACCTGGTGTCTTTCCTTTCCCTTCCAAGGGGTGAACCCAGGAGCCCACACCAATCACCTTCTCGGAGGGAAGAAAGGGAACTCTGGGGGAACCCAGCCTGCAACAAGCAACCAACAGTGCTAAGGTTCCTCTAAGACCCTGAAACCTGCACTCAGCAATGCACGCGACCTTCATCCATCCTTCCACGATCAGGTATATCTGTATGCATATACATGTACAGACTTACACACACACATATCATGTTACCCAGCAAGGAGCAACGGGATTCAGGACTGCTATTCACATCTCTACACAAACATCCCCCTTGCAGAAGCCTTTTCTAACCAAACCTCCTGTCACTGTCAATGTACGCTGCCCCATATTCTCACACTGTCTCTGTCTGTTATATTGTGGACTTTTGTATTATATCTTATGAGAATATGAGCCCCTGAAAGCAGAACCTCATCTTTCGTGGCTTACTGCTATGTCCCCCCTTGTCTAGAAGGGAGCCTGGAGCCTGTAAGCACTCAGTAAATATTGAAGAATGAATAAGATAATTGTACATTCCTTGTTCGCAAGTAAAAGCTAACCTAATCATAAATAACATCTGGTCTTAAATTCTAAAGATTTTAATGCCCCATCCACGAAAACATAAAACAACACTTAGTCTGGTCTGCATAAAATTGAAACGTTCAGATAAAGTAAATTTTGCAATTTGGCCACACATTAAGTTGTATTTGTAATCTTGGATCAATCAGAGTAAAACGACAACAAAACCACAAAACCAGCTAATGGCCGGATTTTGGCAATGCTGAAGAGGCACAGACTTGGAGGTTTTCCTTTAGGAACGCGGACATTTCGAGCTTCCAACCATCATCATGAGCCTGTGTTTTCTCTCTCTCAAAACAACGAGCTGAACAAGGCTGCTAATGCCAGTCCTTCTGCTATCAAACTTGACGTATAAGGTTCGTGCAAAATATCTTACCACCATTTCACTTAGACCCAAGTGGGATTAATTTCCAAGGGATTGAAAAGATACCCCAGAATGATTTCTGGAATCTTAGAGGGTATGTCTAGCAGAGAACACCAAACTTCAATGCAGAGCCAATAGTATATTATCAGGTTACCAAGAATGGAGAGCCCCTTGGACTAGGTAACAAATAGTATAATCCCCCTGCTCCATGACTAATGCCTCTCCCATTTCCTCTTACGACACTACACACCCAACTGCTGCTCCTACCTTTGGGGGAGATGTGTCTCCAGGTAACCGTAGGCTCTGGTCTACCCGTTGCTATGCAGGTGAGGCTGATGTTGTTTCCTTCGTTAATGGAGATATCTGAAGAAATCTCTACAATTTTGGGAGAGACTGTGGAGACAAAACAGAAGAGAAATAAAAACTCTGCTGGAAGATTTTTGTTATAAAAAAATAATAGTCGGCAGAAGAACCCAGAGACTAAAATGTATGGACGACGGTAAGTTAATGATGATGAATTAGACTCACCCTAGGCATGAACAAATACCTTAAGTTTAGCTTTCACTTGCTCCTGTTCAAAGACAAAGTTGGGGAGTCCAAATGGGAATAAACTCCACTGCAGCGCTGTGCACCCATCTCCTAGCCTCTGCCCTCTTCCCACCCCCACTGTGGTACCCACTCGCCCCAGACACACACCACGGAGCACTCACCCCTCCCATGCAGAGGTGTCTTCAGACAGTGCAATTCTGACATTGCTACATCGCCGCCTTACCAGCTCCCCTGCTCCCTGCTGCACCCTGATCAGACCCAGGCTCCCTCTCCTGGGTAGGGGCTGTTCATAATCAAACATCCACCCACGTTTCCACAGCCCTTCCCAGAGCCTCCATCTCTGCCAATCTCCTTGTTTCCCCACACTTCACGGCCTGCCTGGCCATTGCCTATTTGGATCTATGTTATTTCTTATATCCTCCTTGGCCAACTCCCAAACATCCTTTAAGGCCTGGGTTAAACGCCACTTTCTTCGTTGCAATCCCGCCTACCCTACAGTTCTCTGCCATCCTTGACAACTCAAACTTACTGCCTGTTCTTCATCTGTGTGGCCAGAGCACATTACACACACCTGATGGGGTGTCAACACATCACCACGTAGCCATCAACACTCCAGGTTTCTCCCAGGTCTCTGTTTTTCTCTCTGTCCTCTCACTCAGAAGGGGAGGAGTCATCCTAACAGGTAAAGTTCCTTCCATCTTTTGTTTTGAGCCAGGCTTTCCCTCAGAAGCTTACAGTCCATTGTGCAATGCCTTGTGCTTGCCTTATAGGAGTGACCCGAGGGGATGGCTGAGTCCTTTAGGACAGCCAGCCGTCCTGGGTAGACACCTTTTATATTCCGGAGTCCAGCAGCAGAACCTCATTATTGCTGCACAACTGAACCGGAGTCTCCTGGCTCAACTTTACCACCACTAAACATGGCATTTGGTTCTCTCTGTGGCTACTCACTTGGGTATCTGTCAAATGGTTTCTAATTCAGGGGCATAAAGTAAGGGTGTCATTTATGCAGCCCCCAAACTCCAATTCGACCACTTGAAAATAAATAAACACTCTCATGGTACATGTGCCTCACCTTTCCTTCTAGCCTGTAAATTACCAGCATATAACATATTTAACAAGAACTTTATTCATCTTTTTACTTTGTGCTGTCCTAAGGAGGGTGTCTTGCCTGCAGCAAGCAATTAATCATGTTAAGATTTCAAACCACACAGAGCTGAGTTAGTGAGGCTGCGTGTCTGTGCACACGTGTGTGTGTGTGTGTACACTTACACGTTCACGAGTATCTGGTGGGAGAGAAATAAGGGAGAGTGGATGTGGTGAGGGTTAGAGAAAGACCACTTACCATCTGGGACTTTCAGAATATAACATTGCAATTTACGGTTGTATCGTTTTAAAAGCTAGATTGAGCCTCCCAGGACAGAAAGGTAATTGATGAGTTAATGACTGAGCATTTGATTTGCTGACTGCCTGAAGGGTACAGACTTCTGAATTCTCCTACTTCTAGAATCATTTAAACTGATCATTGCGGAAATAAACACTTTGATGCATCTTATTCCCAGAGCATTAACCGAAGCATTCCCTTCTCAGGCACCGCTCCACCAGCACATCCTTCTGCCGGGTCCCTGCTCCCGCCCATTCTTGGCACCCACACGGCCCTGCTTGCTTCCCGGAGGACAGGCTGCCTGCAGAGTGTCAGCACTGGCCTTGCAGGCATTGCTTTGACTGTGCAGGTAAGTAATTTATTGATCTGTAAAGCACTCTGAGACGCTCTGCAAGGGATTATGTCACGCCAACGCCATGCAATAAAATAAAAAATGATGGACTTTGTGAACACAGGGTGATTTAGGGTTTGTAGTTGGAAGTGTGCTTAAAGCACATTTTAAGTGGAAATCAGGCTGGGTAATGAATTACGCTTGCTTTGGAAGGGCTTACTGGGAGTTCATTTTCCTGGCTTCTTACATGATAGCTAATCTGCTAATCATACACTGGAGAACAATGGACAGTCCCCAAGTAGGAGAGAAGGTGGTTTGGGCCAGAGCTGTCAGCACAGTGAGTATATTAAATGAGACAATTGCACCTCATGCTTGGAAAAATCATCAAGAATTATCTCCCCCTACTCGTAACTGGGAAGCGTCCAACTCAGGAAGTAGAAGTTGGAGAAATGCTTACTGTCCCTTCATCCCTGCCTACGAGTGTAGCTGGAGGGCAGCAAAATGTCCCCAGATGAATTTGGGAATTTAAGGAGTTTGAAGTTGCAGGGAGCTACGTTGGTGCCGCCACTGCATTCTAACCCTGACAACAGACCAGACCTTGACTCAGGAAAAAAGGAAAAAATAAAAGAAGACATTTTGTGCCCAGGAATAATTGTTACTGGAAGACTTGGGATGTCCCATGTTTTTTTTTTTCCTTCCCCTCTGCCACACATTGGAAGAATAAGAGTTGTTTTGAGCTATACATTAAATATACAAACACTAAGGAAAACTGATTAGCAAAAAACAAAACAAGAGAAAACAAGACAAAAATGGTCCATATATACTTTTCATGACATCTGTCCACATAGATAAGCACACATACACAAGAAATTCCTAATAAAATCAGCATGTGGCCCATGGGGGCTGCACATCAGAAACCCCTACAGAGGCTGGGTCAAAAGTCACTCAATAGACATTTGTGAACATATACACGATTGCGTGCTAGGTATATGAATAACATACGGAAATGTACCAATTTGCTTGGCCCTCCACGAACTTACAATCTGTCTGGGGACACAGTGCATATAAACACTCCAGACAGTTGGATAATAAAGGAAAATACGCTAGAAAATTGCGTGTGATTGAATGTGAGATGAATGGTACAAACATTAAGTGCTACGAGTTAGTAGGAGGGAGGACTGTCGGGAACGGGAGCGCCGGAGAAGGCCTCACCTCGGAGGAGAGTCTATTTTGGACATCAACAAATGAGAAATAGTCGTGTAGGCAGGAAAAGTAAAGCTGGTTCAAATGGGACAGAAATTCATGGGCACAGATGGGAAGGTAGAAAGCCATGGACTGAATAAAGATACCAAGTCAACTTGCAAGAGGATGCGTAGAGCAGGAGTTGCCGTCCTCGCTCTGCCGTGTTCTAACCAGACAACTTGGCCAGGCTCCTTCACCAATAGGAGCCTCACCTTCCTCGTCTATAAAGTGGAGCTCATGACTGTATGGGGCTCACGAGATTCTACTGAGAGCGAAAGAGTAAATGCATGAAACATGCTGAGAGCAGTTCCCAGCAATGTGAAGAGCTCGAGAAATGAGCTTTAATATTGCATGTGCTTGGCGGACACACATATGTAGCGTCCACACAGAGTGGACAGTCAATACATTTTAACAGGATCAATAGAAAGCAGGATACAAGATCAATGAGGTGAGCCAGAGACAGATGATGGGGCACCCTGAATGGCGAGGTCCAGCATTTTAACTCTACTCTGCAGATAACAGCAAGCGCTTGATTTTTTTTTTTTTTATTTAAAGGAATGTCATAATTTTTAAGAATTTATTTTAAGGAATCTGTTAGCAATGTGTCAGATGAAGTGGGATAGAGAAAAATTAGAGTTAGAGGAATCAATCTGTAAGAGTGATGTTCAAAGCCTGGATTAAAGTGTTGGCTCTGTAAAGATGAAAAAGGGGGGTGGATTTGAGAGCAACGCCCAGGGAAATGCATGGGAACTTGAGCTGCCTGCAGGGGGATAGACACAGACTCAAGCAGGCACACTGTTTCATTCAACAGCAGCTGGGTGTCTGCACCAGAAAAATCCCTGCAACTTATGCAAGGAACGACTTTGGGGGACATCATTAATTTGATTAACTTAATTCTGTTGTAGACATCCTCATGGTGAGATGATAAGAGATATCCACATAGAAATATCTTGTTAGCGGTTGGAATTATTATATATGATGGAAGGTATGGGACAAGATGCAGTCCAAGGATCCAACCGCAAGGTAAACGGATTGAAGGGGTGAGAACTGAAGCCTCAAAAGTAAATTAGACCTTCTAAGAGAGTTGATGGCTCCCTTTTCCGAAATACATTTATGTGCTGTCTTCTGGCTTTTGAGATCGGAATCTGGAAAACATGCCAATTAGAGAAGCAGAAAAGATCACAAAGTGGTTAAGAGACGCTCAGGAAGAAAGACAGACGACAAACGAGCCATATTCTTTGGATGCGGTTCCACAGTTAATATATTATGCTAAGGTTTAATCTGGCTCTTATTGAATTTTAATCTAAATGTGTAAATAATTAAAGAAGATAATTATTGAAACGGTATTCGGAGGGACTTCCCTACTCTCGGTTCGGCTTCCACACTGCCCAGGTGTTGAGTTTTAATAATTATGTCATTAATAAATAGCAATTTGCTGTTTTTAGCACACAGTAGATATCCTATTAAATCCAAATTAAGATGCTTTATTAAGCGCTGTGCAGTCCTGTGGGGCTGAGAAGGCACTTAAGCTGTTTGGACCTGGTTGCCCTGCACGGTGTGTGCAGATCTGTGTATCCCTGGCGCTTTGCTGCCAGGGGCGTGTCACCTCCTCCTTCTGCTCTGTTGTGAAGACTGGAGATGCCTCACCTACTCGGGACAGTCTTCCCAGCAAACTTTGCTACTAAGGCCTTGGGGCATTTGTCTTTATCGGGCCTGAGAGGGACACATTTGGAGTGCCCTGGGCCCTTTTGCTTTCCACTCTGCACAGAAACACAGAGACTCTGGGCCCATGTGAACAGCCTGGGGCATGAATGCTGAACTAGACAGGGAGGCTGAAAGATGTAGTCAAGCTGGGGTTGGTCTGCAGACTAGGCCATCTTTCACTCGGGC